AAATTATGTAAAAGTTTAAGTCAAAAAAGGGAAAAGTTAAAAAAATAAAATAAATAAATATCGTTATTTATCGAAAAAAAGTAAAAATTTAAAAGTGGACGATGCTATGAAACATTTCAAAATATTGACTTCAAATCTAAATAATTATGCTAAGTATGCTAAATTCTGTAAATATTAGTTTACAATTTAAAGGGAGGCAGGGATATGATCCCCGCTCATCTTAGAGGGAAACGAGTGCTTTATCCTCGGTCTCAAAGCTACCAGATAGTTTTAATAAGCATTTTATATTCGGAAACGTTATTTTTGTAGAAAATATTGATTTTTAAGGGGGAAAACAGTGATGAGGGAGAAGCGATTTCTGGGTTAGTGAAATGAGCGAGCAGGGGATAAGCTATATCGATTCCTATCAAGATTAGCTCTTAAAATAAATTATTGGATGACGCCAGTACTTAAAACGTTAAAATTGCTTCAGTCTCGCTATTGCTAAGAAATGTTATGTTAGAGTGATTTAAGAACTTAAAAGAAATTCTTCAAGAGCCAAAGTATACTTTTTATTTTTACAATCTGGTTTAAATAATCATAATAAAAAAAAAACGCTTTCTAATACCTGATAAGGGCTTTCATTGTGTTAAAACTTTATCGTCAAAACTGATTTCAGAGGTTAATATAAATGAAACACAGCTTAATGTTCGGTGGCAAACATTTAAATTTGTTTCCGTAGAAAGATTAACTTTTATAAATGAAAAAAAAATATGATGACGATATTTATCTCCATATTTATTTTTTCTTATTTGCTCGTGGTAGGTATTAGGAGGGGGGGGGGTGCTGTTGTCTTAGAGGAAGATGTATCTCAAAACATTTAAACAGGATATGAAAATCCCCTGCTTAAAAATCCAATCACTGATATACATACTTATCTTTTTTCTTCTTCTCTTCACAGGGCTGTAATTCGTCCAGAAGAAAGAATTTTTTTTTTTTTAATTATATATCCTCTTTAGCTTGCACTAGTTGTAATTATGATACATTTCAATAAAATAATCTACAAGGAGAGATGTAATGACGTCATAAATTACGATAGCGTCATTGATTGAAAAAGTCGCTTCTTAAAATTAAATGTAAATATTGTATTTTTTATGTTATCCACCAATTCTTTCATAAAGTAGACATTTGGTATAATTTTCCCAAAAGAATTGGGTCGGCTGTTAAAGGAAAGTTATAAACATAAATTCCTTATAGCGCTAGATTCTTTACGAGGTGAGCTGGGTTTGAATCCCAGGGATGGCTGGTCGATTCAAATTCCGCACTCGACTCGCACCGACCACAGTGGTGACGTAAAATGTCCTCACTGGCAGACGAATAATTGGTTAGAGTCCCATTGCCGTCAGGCTAACCAAAAGAGGTTAAAATCCTCCAAAAATTTCTCGCACTACTACGAGTTGAACAAGTAATTACAAGGCTATGAAGTTGAACACTGACAGTCATAAACCCAAAGTTGGGTCGACTGATCATGAAACTACCTTGTCACTACTTTCAATTTTAATAGAAAGAAATTGTCCGAAAAATGCACTCTTATAATCAAAAATTTGAAAGTGGTAGAAACGAATAATTTAATTTTCCCGAACAAAAGTAGAAATGAAAAGAGGTATTAGTAAAAAACCTTGCAAAAAGTAAGGCGAGGTTTTTGAGGTTGGCAGATGTACAAAAATACACCTGAGGTAGAAAAATAAGGTTATGCTTAGCACTGAAAATAACCTCATCAATTTAGCAACATTTACACCTCACAAAATCAACCTCATATATAACTGTGAAATAATTTTAGTTTAGATCGGGGGAAATTATTCACACATCAATTGTATCTAGTTGCTTGAAGTACAGAAAAAATAATCCATGAACCTCAAAAACAACATCTCTAAGCAGGTTGCTCTATAGTCGATTTCCATCAACCTCGAGTATGAATTAAGCAACTTCATATACTTTGATCTTGGAGGTAGATTTAAGGTTGTTTATGAAATCAACTTCGAATAAACCTCAAATCAACCTTGAAACCTCTATACAGCTTCATGTAAACCTGAAAGATATCTTAAAATTTTGTAAGTGAAAATAATGATTATCACAATATATTGATAAGATAAATATTTACATTTTGATCTGGTGTTACTTCACAGAACTCTCTTAAAGCTTAAAATGCAGGCAGCAGAAACTGTGCATTTTCTTTTTGTGGCTGCATAGTATCAAGATAATGAAACTGACCGAGTGTTTTTTTTTTCACGCATAGCAAATTAAGTGTAGGAAAAAAAGTTATGATATTAATGCATTTATTTAGCATCATTTCACTAATTATATTATTTCACAAATGGTTTTAAAATGTGTTATTTATTTAACAGCTAAAACTGGTTGTGAAGATTATGGAGGAAACAAGGAGTGCAGGGGGAGAGGGGACTTCTTTACTTGCATTAACGACAAAAAAGACTCATCGAAATACATATGCGACTGCCTGTCTGGATACAAATTAAACAGCAACAAATGCATTGGTAAAACCCTTAATTTATTTGCTCTAACTTTGCCTTTAATGCCTACCGGGCTGTGTAGGGGTCAGGGAACTGGCCTATGGTTCTGGGTTCGAATCCCGGTCTAGGCATGGATGTTCTTTCATTTTCTCTACTATCTGGTCCTTATTGTGGCAGCAACGTTGGCCCACCTAATATGGTGCCTCTGAAAAAATGGCCAGCAAATCTGCCCTTCAGATGCCTGTACTGACGAAAATTCATTCCCCAGGAGGGCATTGGAAGAAAAAAATTTAAAGAAACTTTGCATTTAACTTTCACAAAGATGCCAACTTGCATCTCATTACATGGAAAAATTACCGAACAATGAAAAAAGGGAAAAAGAAATATAATAATAAAAATCTCCGGAAAAAATTCCGAGAAAAGGAGAAAAAATTTATTTAAATATATTCTCACATTATTGTATTGAAATATTTTTCTTTGGCTATATTGATACAATAATAGAAAGCACTTCTTTTTGCGGATATAATGTGAGCTGATGAAAAGATTAGATATTTTATTTTACGGATTTTTATTATTACTTTTCTTTTAACCTTTTTTTAATTGTTCTATAATTTTTAAACATTTTGAGCTTATTTCATGAGTTCTGTTTACTTGCAGCTTATGCGCTCGCAGTATATATATATATATATAAGCTCAAAATGAAGATAAAACAAAGAAAAATTATAGACATATGAAAAAGGGGGAAAATTATAATTAAAAAAATAACAAACAAATAAAAAAAAAGGATGAAATTTTATTTAAAAAAAACCGGAAAGAAAGATATAATCTTTTCATCTGCCCATACGATTATATCCGCCAAAAAGAGTGTATATATAGGCAGGTAGATTTCC